AATATGGTAGTGGCCTGCAAAGTTTCTTGTTGTGAAACGTGATACTTCTCAAGTTATGAACATTCTACCTGAAAGTGTCTCGCTTTGCCCTAGGTTATCCTAAAAGGTCAGAAGTTTATGAATCTTATAGGTTGACGCTGAGAGAACATCAATTTTTTGATGTGATAGTTGCCATTTTGACCCCAAATTTGTCAACAAAGGTCATTTGAGTAACAAAGGTATGCTAGTTATTGTATTGCCTGAAAGAGTGTCATTGCTATTAAAAGCAGTGAAAAATTCAAGTACTCTGGAAGAAAAGAAAATACGTAAGTAAATGATAAATATTTTTTTATAATTTTTTTATGCATTTATCTTGTATGATATCTTAGTACAATTTATATACTTTAAATAAAATACTCTTTGAAGATTTTTTGTAAAGTACATTTTATATTAATTTAAGTCTAAACAAAAGTTACTTTAATTATTTCCAGGTTGTGTATTTTTGCAGGTCAATTATTTGGCACAAATTGGAGTTAAAGACAAAGGAGATTGTATATTTTATTTGCTAAGAGTAGTTTTTTAAAATGGCCTAGTTGTAAAATTAAACTATGCAGGAAGAGGACAAAAAATTGGAATAGAAAAAATGTTGATTGCATATGCTGCTATTGGTAAGTGGTTTAGAAAAGTTTATTTTTTCAGTTTCAATTTTGCATTACAGAATTACTTTCAATTTATTATGTTTCTTTGGTGCATAATTAAACAAACAACTTTTTTTGTTGTTGCAGAAACTGTGAAGTCAAATAAGCATGGCTTATGCAGACATGTGATAGAGATAGAGGAAGAAAAAATAATAATCGTGGGCACCAAGTATCATAAACTAAACACGATTCAATAACAAGTAGCTCAGCCAATATCGAAACTACTCTATAAATTTTATAGTGAATTTTTTATTTAAAACTCAATGTGTCAGTTTTTGGTTTAAGTTTAATGTTTGCAATATGTATATTTAACCGATAAATTATGTTAAATAAATAAATTTTTATACCTGTATCATACATTTTTTTTTCTCTATAAATTTTCAATGTAGCGATGCAAATCATCTTATTTGTAACAACAATCTAATGTTGCATAAAACGTTAGGCTGATATATAACATACGATGTTGGGCCGATGTTGTATACAACATTAGGCCAATTTTGTATACAACGTTGGGTCAATGTTGTATACAACGTTGGGCCAATGTTGTATACAACGTTGGGTCAATGTTGTATACAACGTTAGCCTAACGTTATGTTGTACACAATATTGTACACAATGTTGTACACAATATTGGACCAATACCTAACCAATGATCAAACCTGCATTGGGCCAACATCGAATTTCAACGTTGGGCCAATGCACCATCATGCATTGGCTCAACGTTGGTCCAATGTAAGCTTGCTGTCTGGGTATATTCTCCTAATTTTCTTTTCGTTATTACTACAATTATCATCAGTACTTTTTTATTTGTTATTTTTTCCCTTTTTTTTTAATCATAATTTGAAAATTATGATTTCTACATGTTTATTGGTAATGTATGTTCTATGTGCTTTAATCTATTTTAATACTCTTGTAAAAGTGATTTACGGAAAATAAAATCTCGTTGTTGTTGCTGATTTTCAAAATTATAAATTTGTTATTAAATCAATACAAGTTTCAAATAAGAAAAAAGTTATTATTAATACGTGAGATAATTTATTTGACTTATTGTCCGAAATGCTAAACTTAAAAAAACTAAATTTCAAAATAATTGTTACGCGAATGTTGTGAAAGCAGTCTATTTTATTATAGAATTATCACTTTTCATTATATTTAATTGTTTGTTAAAGAATGGAGTCTTTCTTGATCAATTAAAATTTATGAAAACAATTCTTATTTAAAAAATGACAATGATTTAATAGAAATTTAAACAAGACTCAAGATCTCAACACTTACTTGTAGGGTACTATAGAATTACAACTACTTTCAAAAAAGTAATACTTCATATCATAAACAATTTGGGTTTGGAAATAATTCTTGCGCTGAGTATGCATTAGTTGAATTTCCAATAGTATTTTAAAAGGATTTGATGACAGCAAGTATACACTTAGTGTTTTTGTAGATTTATTAAGTTCGACATTGTTGACCATGAAATGCTTCGTTATAAATTGCAAAAATTAAAGAACTTTGAATTCAAATTTAAATGGCTTCAATGTCTTACGTATAACTTAACTAGTACACAGTTAGAAATTTTTAGAATCTTTGGAATCCCCCAAGTTCAAAAGATAATAGTACATGTGGTGTTTACATTGCCCCATTGAAACGTGAAAAATTCATTAGTAAGATGGTGGCTAAAAATATAAGGTATCCATTAAGTTGTACATCAATGATTGTAGAAGGTTTACTCAAAACGGTTAGTGAGCCTTCGATTTGCAGATTCGCATTAAAAAAAAAAACATTCTCAACACTGACCCATAAAATATGCTTGATTCGGTCTTATATCAACATTCAGAAGAAATTGATGTGCCTACATTTGGTAATGGAAAGTGCATAAGCAAACAATATTATTATAGTTCTTTGCATTACAAGCATATTTACATCCTACGTTATATCTTTAAAAATATCTGAGAAAGGCAATTTCGTCTCTATTTATAACATGTTACTCATAGTTATTTTAAAATTTAATATATATAAAAAAATTTCCGTTGCGATATGTGACACTAGAGATGGCTCTTTTAATTACTTTTTTCTTTTACTTACACGATTAATTTTTATCAAAAAGTAAATCGCATAAGTAATTTTAAACGTTTTATGTAAATTTACATTTCCGTAAAAGTAATTATTTTTTTTGAAACGACTTATTTTATAATGTAAGTTTTTTTTACTTTCAAAAGTAAGTTATGTAAAAGAAGATTACATCAAATAGTAATTTACTTTTACATTTAATAGTTAATTACTTTTAAAAATTACACTACATAATATTAAAGTTCTTCAATCTATAAATTACATTTACCTATAAAAGTAACTAATTAAAAAAATTATATTAAAAAGTAACTTGCATATGAAAGTAAATTACATAAAAGTAATATGCTACCAAATGCAAATTAAATTTACAAATTTAATAGTTTTTTTTTAAGTAGGAATTTTTTATTTTAAAAGTAATAACAAATCTTTATCAAAAATAAATCATATAAAATAAAATAAGCTTATATTTTATATAATTTGTAAAGTAAATTAAAAGTAATTTGTATAAAGTAAGTAAATAATTTTACTTATATTTTACAATAACTTTGACAGGATCTTGTACAAAAGTAATGCAAAAAAGTAAAAAGTCACTAACATTTAGTTTGCCGCAACAATTGATTTGCGCGGTTTTAGGTATTTCTTTCTTGTAAAGTTTGAAAATATCAATAATAGGTTTCTGCCCATGATTAAAACTCTCTCTAGTTCCAGTCCATGATAGTTTTAGCTATAATAACCATTCTCTAAATCAAACCGTTACAAAAATATTCAATCTCTGGCCAACCATTCAAAAGGTCTGGAATTTAGACAAAGCTGAAACAAGGAAGTTGGTAGGAGGCGCATATACCCATGGGAGATTTAAAAAGAGTAGTTTATTTGAAAGGAAAATAATTGGCATAGTTGTAGTTCTTTTTTACGTAAATGTATTTATTATTTAAAAACTAAGGAGAGAAAGTTTAAATCTGTCCTGAATTATGGGGCTATAAAACCATGCCCTGAAGATTAAAAAACTTTTTAAGTAGACGCTTTATTTTTGTAAATATTTTTTGCCACTTTGATACAAAAAAGTTCACCTGATCAAGAATATCTTTTGACTCAAAAAGTCTTGGTTTAAACAACTTTTATCTGGGCATGAAAATTTTAAAAATTTTAAGGTCCCACAAACTGAACCTAGAGCTGCAAGGTTTAGAAGCCCTAAGATATATTTAAAGAGTTTTTTTTATTTATAGAAAAGTTATTGTTCCAGAGAAACAGTAAGTGGGCTCCTCGGCCACGTATGTCTATTAACCAAAAGTATTTTGCTACGCCAGTGTGTAATATCACCCGAGCTGTAGCTAAGCAATGATTTATACTTAGATTAAGAAATAAAACTTGTGGTAATTGGAGCCAGATTAAAAAATACTCTAAAACATTTACCATAACTACCCCAAATGTGAGGGTAACAAATAAATAATAGTTATTTTTTATTCTCTTACACTAAATTTAAGTCAACAGGTTTTAAAATTCAAAATTCGAAGTTTATGATTATATAAAGTTTACACCCAAACCAAATAAGGTTGTTGTTTCAAAATTTTCCGAAACATTCAAATGTAACATAAACATAATTAGTTAAACATAGTTATAATAAGTTTATAAAGGTTTAAATTTTTTTTTAAAAAAAGCACGACTTTTCAATCTGGTATTATGGTTTATCCTCCCTCGGCTAATTGTCATATAGAGACCACATACCAAGAACCGCGACGACAAGTTCAGTTTACTAAAGAGCATAAAAACCCGTTTCGATGGACCTATAATAATTGAGTTTTAGGAAAATAAAAGTATGTAAGAGCAAAATTTAAAAACAATAGGGTTAGCATAGAAAGAGAAAGAGAACATAGAGATACCGGACAAACATTGCACTGAATGTTAAAATGCGCAATCTTAAATTAACGACAATATGCTCTTTTCATCAAATTTTTTTGTCAACTTATTATTTGCATTTTTTTTTCTATTGCCAATAGCAGTTTTTATAAAAATTAAAAAAGTTTTTACCGAAATTTTATAAGAACTCCTATAAACCGAAAGTTTAAAATGTTTATATAAGTTTAATGATTATAGTTCATACAATAATTTCTTTCTATAACGAAACCTAAAGAATAGGAGTCCTCATGTTTTTTAAATAAATCTTTTAAAAAAAAACATTCCTTAAATTACCTAAAATAAACAAAGTAATTTTCGTCGGTAAACAAACATAATTTAGTTTTCATTAAATAAACAAAAACGTTTTAAAAGTTTTTTAAGTGAATAACTACGATTGTTGGGTTTGTAAATGAATTATGATAAATATATATATTGGAATATGAAATCAATACAAATTCGACATGCGGGTATTAATGATTGCGATGGAGTAATTGACATGATCAAAGAATTAGCCATATTTCAAAACTTTGGTTCATCTGAAATTACTAATACGAGCAACATTTTAATTCGGGACGGCTTCGGAAGTGGGGAAAAATGGTTTCAAATATTCGTTGCAGAAGCAAATAAAAAGGAAAACGAAGAAGAAAAAATGCTTGTAGGTTTTGTACTATTTTTTCGAAGTTACTCTTCGTGGAATGGTCGTATTCTTAGAATAGATGATATATATGTAAAACCTGAGTTTAGAGGTAATGGTGTTGGTACTAAGCTATTAAAAGAAGTTGCAAAGGAAGCTATAAAAGAAAACTGCGTTAGAATACATTGGAATGTTTTGGATTGGAATGAAAATGCTAAAAAATTTTATGAAAAATGTGGAGCTAAAGTTGAATCCGATTGGCAGATGTGGGTTTTAAAAGGCGAAAGTTTACAAAACTTTGTAAAAAGTTGACATTTACACAAAAATAAATTAAAATGCATTCTGTTTTATTTACCTTATACTTACCTTATACACTAATACCTTTTTACTTACCTTATACACTGATACTGACAATAAAGTAATCCACTTTGAGATTTTTATTTGTGATTTTATAAACAAGGTTTATCATCAGTTGTATTATTAGTTTTAAATAAAATTTAGATTTGATAAAAAATTTAATATCTTCTACACCGAAAGTTTGATTGACAGATTGCAAAACTTTTAAGTTTCGCATAAAAAACTTAGACAATAAATAAATCTCCAATGTTAAGTATCCCAATCGTCATTCAAAAATAAATTGGCGATTATAAGCTTCAATGATAATTGTCCTAATATAGAAGCTACAATGATAAGTATCTTAAGCGTCATTCAAAAAATTTAATTTTTTTAATTTAAGTAGTTGATATTAAATAGAGGAAGTATATATTGTTCGCTATGAATGCTAAGTTGGGATTTTTGATAGTATAAAATAATTTGATCTTTGATAGTATAAAATAATTTGATAATTTGAACACAGCATATTGTTTGAAAAAGAAAAAAATAGGGTGTTTAAAAATAAAATGAAATTTTAATAAAATTAGATAATGCGAAATTTTGCCTTTTAAAATTCCCTTCACCCAGTCCCCCACACTCTTACGAAACAATCTGGATCCACTAAAACAAAAAAAAAATAGAAATTGCTCCCCTCCTTAATTGATGGCTTGGATTCATCCATGACAAAAACGGATTCGAAAGAGAAGGTGTGTTGGGAATTATTGCCCTTTCATGATTTGAAAAAAAATGTTTTTTGATTAATAGCTGGTGTATGCATCCCTTTATAAAAAAAGCATGCAATGTTAACCGAAATATTACTGTATCTTAAAGTAATTTAAATTTATAAAACTAATATTTAAAAAAGATTAGAGAGTTAAGATATTTAACTAAACACGTGTTTAAAGCCTTAATTTGTTGATTGTTATAACAACTTAATTACAAGTTCTAATTTACAATGTGGCAACATAACATTTAATTACTTTTTTAAAACTTACAACAATGTAATTTTGGTACACATTAGGTAAGGCAATCAGACTTGTTTGTTTTCTGTCATTCGTGTCATTTGCTAGTTTGCTAGTTTTTCGTAGTGATGAGAAGTTACGCTTAGCAATGGCAACGCTAACAGGACTGTAAAAACAATTTGTGATCAGGAATTTGAAACAACTTGTGAATGATTGGATATTGCACCTGGTAACACAAATCAAAAACAACAGAAAGATCAGTTAAAAAAGATATAGTTCCTCCTTCATCCTTTATCTATATACATTGCAATGCCATAGTTTAACATCCGATATAAATTCAGATACTGGTAAGTTTTAAATACTAAGCCCAAGAATGTTGGATTTGCCATAAAGATAGCAGAAACAGTTTTAACAATATCTTTATAATTCGGTATAATAATACTTTTTAACACCAAATAATAAATTTTAAAATATTGCAAATTTTAATTAGTGTGCCCTTCCTTACTTGATGGTCTTAATCCGCCTCTATACATAGAGGCGGATTCAGACCATCATATTCATACCAATTTATTTTATTCTATTTTGTCATTTAACTTATTATCAAGTGCAATTACTTGGTCCACTGTTTCCAGCATCCAGCAGTTTCACCCCGGTCGCACGAAACCTTAACTTTACAATCTCCTTTAAAACTGTTTCTACTTCAGCCAGCTCTTGGAGAATAAAATTTTGCGACTCTATAAAAAACTATGTAAATCTCAAAAAATGTGGTATTTTTTTGAAATTTACTTTCAGTAGTTGCATCAATATTTTTAAAAACTTATTTTCTATGTTAGCAATAACATCTTATGTAGAATCAAGCGCTGGTGCAAGAGACAAACTTGAAATTTAAATAATATAGTCAAGACTGTAAGAGTTTAAGAGTTTAACATGTTGGAAAGAAATTTAAATTATGGTCATTGTTGCAAATTTTATCCAGCTTTACGAAATCAGCATCTTTAAAAATCACATGCTAATTTGCATTAACCTACTATTAATAAAAAGTTCTTAGCGGCTTTTTTTAAGCGCTTGCGCTCAAGAGCAATAGTTAATCTTTCCTTTTGCAGTTTCGCTATCAAATTAATTTTGATAACTACACGCACTATACTAAACTATACAGAACAAATACAATATCCCTGACATACCGAACAAATGATTATATAAATCAGATTTCAGAAAAACAACATTTGTGTATTATAAGTATTCTAATTTTCTAATAAATTAAATTTCTAATCTACGTTATATATAAAGCAATTTTCTTGAGACTAAATTGGAACCAATTATTAAAAAAAACTTTTTTTTCATATACATAAAACTATTCACTATTTAAAATCTTTAATATAGGAAACTTTGTTGTATAGCGTTCAAAAAATCGAGTTAAAGAAACTGCCTCTTCTGTTTCTGAATCTGTTAAAAATCTATGCAAAATAGATCATTGTTCTGAATTAGTCTGAATAAGAAAAAGAATCGAAAATTTAATATTATATGAAACCAATTAAAAACATAAAATATAACAGGAGGCTAGACCTCAATAAAAATATCTCACTTAAATCTAAGGTATAGTTATATACAGATTTAAGATATACTAATATACTTCTAGTAGATGTATGTGTATATATATATATATATATATATATATATATATATATATATATATATATATATATATATATATGGATAAATAGGACAAAGCAGGACAACGAAAAAGTAATGCTTGAAAAATTAATAAAGACAATCGATACTGCAAAGCAAAGCATTTCAAAACGAGAATGTTCATCCATGATAACTTACAGCGAATTCAACTTCAGTCACACAACATAAGAAGAACTTGATTTGGACGAAGCATCAGCAATAATTGTCCACGTGCATAATGAGCATTAAAGTGATATTTTATTCCAATAATGTCTGAAAATGAACTTTCTTACACAAATGGTAACGTTTAATACTTATAGAAAAAATACAGAAGAAGAGTCAAGAAGAAAACTTGACTTACTTATAACGCACGAACCAGACCGAATTATCAAACTCCATAAAGGCGACTCATTAGGTCACACACCAAGAGGTGAATCACATTGCTTTATCACTTGTTCATTTGTAAAAAACTATGGATGAACGACAGATAACAACGAAAAGAGGTATATATAGCTTAGAGCAAATTATGATGCCATCTCAGCATGAATGATAGCAATCTTTTGGACAAGTATTTTTAATTCTTTTTCAGCTAACGACAACTATAAATTACTACTTTGTTACCTTTCAAGAGTGAAAAAAAACATGGAATACCCCTGAAATTGAAGTAGCTGTGCGGGAAAAGAAAGCATTATGGCGCAAATACTTAGCCGCCAGTAGATAGACGCATTAGGGAATTCGCAAGGAGCACAAAGTAACACGTAAAAGTATCAGAAAAGTTGTAAAAACAGTAGCATTTGGCATTAAGATGGAGATTGTAGCATATTTCAACTATGACCCAAATAACTTCATAACCAAGTTAAGCATAATAAATGGAAAATGAAAATATGAAATCCCTTAAAAACGATGCAGGAAAAAAACTACAAATATGCAAGAAATTTAACATTTACTTATCAACTATTTTGTCTGCATTTGTTGTTGAGCCTGTAGATCAAATGTCAAATTTCAGAGATTGAACGCAATCAAAGTGTAATTTAAATAAAGCTTTAATCCATAAATACCTCTTTTCGTTGTTGTCTGTTGTTCGGTCTACAATCACGCATACAGCTGTATAGCAAAAGCTTGAAAAACTAATCAAAACAAAATCTAAAGAGTATGACGGAATGCGCCATTGTGTACTTTTCAATTGCGCAGTTGCAATTTCCGTACCATTATCACTAATCAACCGCAAGTCTCTCTCCGAAAGCAAAGTACCTAATCTATGAAAACTGACAATTATAACACCAATCTTTATAACTGGTAGCAGAAGGAAGCGCTTAATCTACATACTGATATCACTAGTATCAGTAACGTGCAAGAAAATGGAGAGCTTCGTTCATGAGCAAATTTGCTACAACATGGGTCTATTCACAAAAGCTCAACTCGGTTTTTTACCTAAGCATGGCTAACTGTCTAATCAACTAGAAGCTCTTTTAAATGACGGACGCAGTACAACATGGCTATGCCATAGACAAGATAAACACAGACTTTATGAAAGCCTTTGACTAAGTGCCACACAATAGACTTCTGCATAAACTAAGAGCTTACGGTTTATGGGGCTCACTGCTCGGGTGGATATTAAACTTGATGGGTAGCCAAAAGCAAAAGGTTGTTGTTTGTAAAGTTGAATCTCATCGGAAAGAGGTAACTAGTGAGGTGCCTCAGGGATTGATTTTAAAATCGTTGTTCACCATCCTCAACCTAAATGATACCGATTAAAGTAGCTCATCACATGAAGATATATGCCAACATTAGCAAAATACTAGGTTTCATTAAAACAGAGGAGGACAAAACACGTCTCTAGCTTGACATTGATAAAGCAGTAGAATTGTCCAAAAAGTGGCTAATGCTTTTCAGCTTGGACAAATGCAAATACATGCACATAGGTTGCTTCAACAAATCAGTCTGTGTTTATACAATGACTGATCATATGGAAATAAAACAAGAACTGAGCACGACTTGAGTCGAACGAGATCTAGGTGTTCTTGTTTCAAGAAGACTTGAAAGTCAAGCATCAAATCAAAGCAGCGGCTGCAAGAGCAAACTAGGTACTTGGTTGGATTAAGAAATCCTTGAGAAGCAGAGGTTTCATACTTTGGAAAGTCCTTTACAAATCATATGTTAGAGCACACCTCGAATTCACCCTCCAATCTTGGTCGCAACATCTGAAGAGAGACATCAAAGCTCTCAAAATCATTCAAAAGCGTGCTGATTGAAGACATCAAACACAAATGATCTGAGGAAAGGCTTACAATTCTAGGCCTACCCAAACTATAAGATAGACAAGTTAGAAATGATTTAATTAAGCAATATAATATTGCGCATGGTGTTGAGAAAATTGAATTTGTTGTGCCTCAAGTCTACGCACAAATGCTGTCCCGGTATAATTTTCGTGGCAATAACTTAACTGCTGTTGCAAGAAAATGTGCTGTTACATCGAGTGAGAGGGTTGCAATGTGGAAGCAATATTTTTTCT